AAATTATAACCATCCCTAATATTTAAAATATAAAATCATTTTTTTTTAGACGATTTTCGAATAATCATAAAATATACTAATTATATACATAATTATGTAAAACATATATATTATTTAAAATTTATAAAATAATACAACTATTTAAAATAACTTGCAAACTATATTATAATTTTTATTTTTTTTTTGAAATTCTATAAAACTAATTTTTTTAAAATTGCTTGAAATTGAAGAAACTCGATGATTAATCTATAATGTGAAGGTCCAAAATTGGGTGTCAACAGTGGGGTCTGTCCCAACATCCATATTAGTATTTTAGAGGCTTCATAGACAGTCAGTCAGTTAGTTTGGAGTCTCTCATCTATGTATATAAATGTAAATATTCTATTTTGAGACTCGAGTTGCCTTTATGGCCAGTTTTTATTTCAGTTAGGTTGTTTTAAAACCGTGCATTGCATTGAGTTATGCAGTTGAGTTAAGTTTTCGCTGAGTTAAGAAAGTCAGGCCAAGGGTTCGCTTGGGGGCCAGCAATGGTCTTCGAGTGTCGGCCACGTCCAGGGTGTAGGCTCGGGGAGTGACATAAGGAGACATACATATGGGGGTCTTATATGCCGTGACATAGGCCCATAGAGCATCATCAAGCTTCCTTGACCAATCTGTTCTATTAACATTCACAATCTTTGCCAAAATCTGTTTGATTTCTCTGTTGGACACTTCAACTTGCCCACTAGTCTGCGGATGGTAAGGAGTGGCTACATTGTGACAGATACCATATTTCTCAAGTAGTGCCTTAAACAACTTATTACAAAAGTGAGAACCTCCATCGCAAATAATAGCCCTCGGTGTACCAAATCTAGAGAAGATATTCTTTTTCAAGAATGTGGTGACACTTTTACTTTCATTGTTTGGGAGCGCAACTGCTTCCACCCACTTCGATACATAATCAACCACAACAAGAATATACTTCATCCCATATGAACTCACAAATAGGCCCATAAAATCAATGCCCCAGACATCAAACAACTCTATCACCAATATAGGATTCATAGGGAGCTCTTGCCTTTTTGAAATCCCTCATTCTCTTTGGCAATGATCACAAGACTTGGCGAAATCATGAGCATCTTGGTGGATGGTAGGCCAGTAGTACCCACACTGCAAAATCTTATGTTCAGTTCGAATACCACTATGATGCCCACCAACAAGCGATGAATGGCATGCTTCAAGTACACTCAACATCTCAACCTCGGGCACACAACGACGAATAATCCCATCAGCACAACTATGATACAAGTAAGGCTCACCCAAAAGAATTTCTTCACATCATGCATAAACTTTTTCCTTTGGTGAAAAGACAAATCAGGGGGCACAATATCGCTTGCCAAATAATTAGCAAAGTCTGCGAACCAAGGAATCAAATCATTAGAAGCAGCCAATACCTGTTCATCTGGAAAAGTATCATTAATTTCCGCCCTATCTCCAAGCTTTAGCATAGCCTCTTCCTCTAATCCGGACAAGTGATCGGCAACTTGATTTTCGGTATATCAGATAACCTTTTTGAGTGAGTGAATATCCCAGGAGAACACAAGCATTAGCCCTGGCAGAGAATTTATCTTTTCTCTAAAGTATGGTAGCAAAACATAAGCAGCCAATGGTTCTGAGATGATCTAAGTTGGGTTTTTTCTTGTAAAATACTTCATAAGGTGACTTTCCTTGTAAGGTAGAAGTAGGTAGTCTGCTGATCAAGTACACATCAGATAACACACATTCCCCCCAAAACCTGATAGGTAGACCGCTTTAAAATCTGATGGCCCTTGCTACTTCTAATACATGTCTATGTTTTCTTTCCACCACTCCATTCTGTTGTAGAGTGTGGGGACAACTACTTTGATGAATGATGCCCAAGGACTCAAATAATGTATTACATTCAACATTGAATAATTCACCTCAATTATCTTATATAACAGTCTTTACACAATGATCAAATTGAGTTTTAACCATCAAATTGAGTTTTAACCATTTGAAAAAAACACCTTAAGACTGTGAAAACATCAGATTTCAATTTTAGCAAATACAACCATGTGATTCTATAACAATCATCAACTACAGTTAGAAAGTACTTGTAACCAGCATAAGTATTAACCCTATATGGACCCCAAACATCAATGTGGAGCAAGTCAAATACAAACCTACTTATAGTAGATGATACAGGAAATGAAAGTCTTGTTTGTTTAGCTAATGGATAGACTAAGCAATCATTGACATGACTATCTGCAGTGGGCATTAATTTCCTCAAAGTAGAAAAAGAAGGGTGACCAAGTCTCCTATGCCATAGCAAGTGATCCTCCTTGGTGTTTTTGAAATTCATTAACTTTGCAGTAGTAGCTTCTGCATTATGTTCAACCTGAGCTGTCACAGCTTTATTCAAGTGGCTTCCATCTTCAACACCTTTATTCAACATAAAGTAAAGACCTCCAGTCTCCTTACCAATCCCCTTGACCTTCCCAGTTGAGAGGTCCTAGAAAACACAAAACTCAGGGAAAAACTTATTGAGCAATGAAGTTGTCTAGTCAATTTAGACACAGAAAGTAGATCATAATGGAAGTCAGGGACTACTAGAACATTGGTCAGTACAGCACCATTACCCTAATTATAACTACCAATATGGGATATTAAAGTAGTGTCACCATTAGGAAATTGTACATGTGTTTGATGACCTTGTTCTAAAGCTACTATGTCAAATAGTTCATCTAGAGATGATGTAGTATGCTTTGTTGCACCAAAGTCCACTACCCAATGCTTTAGTTTAGTGCCTATAGAAAACAAATTATTTGTACCTGCTTGATTAACAGCTGGAATATCATTGTTCTCCTTATTCAACATCCTGAATAGCTGACTATATTGCTCTTACGTGAATACATGAGTTGCTGGTCCACTGCCATAATTATCCTCAATAGCATTTACATGAGCCATCATATTTCCATTTCCATTGCTCCCATATCTTACAGGTCTAGGTTTCTTCTTAAATTTATAGTCAGGTGGATATCCAACAACCCGATAACATGTATCTTTAGTATGCCCTTTCATCTTGTAGACATCACATAGTAACTTATAGTCCCTCTTCTGCTTATCGAATGATTGTTGTGGATTAGGTCTACCATCATACAATGTAGCTGAAGTGGAAGCACCAACATCACTTTCAAATGATGAACTACTACCAGCAAATTGCCTTTGAGAGGTAGAAGCACCTACATCCTTACCAGCATACAAAGCTGTAGGAATACCTAAATCTCCTCCTGAGTATGAACCTGCTATAACTTTTTGTCTCTCATCAGAGATCACCATCGAGTAGGCTTTATTTACAAAGGGTAAGGGAATCATCATTTGGATTTGGCTACGAGCCTGGCTGTACGACTCATTCAATCCCATCAAAAAAGCAAATAGCTTCATGTACTGCAAATGACTAGCATACACTACTGATTTATCACATCTACATGAATGTGGAGCTACGAGAGCATTAAATTTGTCCCAAAGAAGTCACAATCGAGTGAAATAAGTAGAAACAGATAAGGTACCTTGTGTGATTATGCAAATCTCGCGATGAAGCTGATAGCCTCGCGATCCATCCACTTTATCAAATCTCTTTCAGATCTGCCTACACAGTTGCAGCATTAGATGCATAGATGATACCACTCATCAACTCCTTCGAAACTGAGTTCAAAATCCATAACAAGACAAATGCATTGCACTTTTTCCATTGGTCTGCCAAAGCAGCAGCATAGTCACTCTTTTTACAGGTTATGAAAACAAATCCTGCTTTGCTCTTGACTCGACGAGTTAGGAGCATCAATCGACTCCATAACGAATAATTCTCCACACCTGTGAGCTGGACTGTCGTCAACATAGATCCTGGAGAGTCAGACTGCATGAGATATAAGGGATGATCAATCAATGGATGAATCAACTGGTGATTCGGAGCTCTGATACCATGAGAAAATATCTACTCTTCTACCATGAACAACATGTTTGGATGGGAAGAAGGATAGGGGAAACAAGCAATGAGCATTTCACTATTGTGAGAAGTTAGTTTACATTGCATTGTACATACATATATATAGCTAAGCTACAGTCTAACTAACTACTGTATCAACCTATCACAAATGTACAGCTGTCACAGAGTAACAGAATCATAGTAACAAAATTAGTTATATCTAATTACACTTATCAACTAACTATTTAGAACTGGTAGCCAACTAATCAACATGGTTAAGTGACTCCTTTCTCAATAATAGACTTGTATGTTACCTTTCAAAAAATATTCGTTAGTCGCTTCGTTGAATTTATTTAAGTGGTAAGTGTGAAGAACACAAAGACTATTGAACGATCATTACGTCAAAAAATATTTTTACTTGAAAATTAACTAACGACAATAACTTGATTGACGGTAAATATGTATTTTTAGAGGCGATTACCACTCTTTGTACATGTCTCTAAAGCCTATAACGAGATTGAATTTAGTAAAAATTAACTAATGTCGATAAATGCTTTAGCAATTAGCACTCTTTGTTAATGTGCTTATTTATTGTCGCTACTTTTTTGATATTGTAGTGAACTACGTACCAGTGACTACAGGGTGAACACTTTAAGGAGGCCAAAGTTGAGCAATCCTTATTGTTTCTTCTTCTTGATCATAAAGCATGTTAGCTCTCATCGATCAATTTTTATTTATGTATCTCAGATACATACAAACCACACTAGATACATGACATTGACATGATGAGAAATTGAGGATATCACTTCACTCTATAAAATAGAAGGCTTTATTAGTATAAACAAGTCACAACTCATATAAACAAGTGAAACATGACCAAGTGTTTATTATTTCTCTTATCTCTTTGTTTACTTGCTTTTGTTGCGTTTTCATCAATTTCCCCTTGCCAAAATGCTCGTAATTCTAATAGGCAAGTATTCAACACATTGGGTAGATGAATTAATCCTCATTCAAATTATCGTATCGCTTCGTCTCTCGGAGGTGTCCTAAGTGGTCATGTATACCTAGGTCACATCCCAAATTCAGGTGCCTCTTGTCCAGACGGCGTCTTCAAGTACAACTCCGATGGACAAAGAGGTACACCCCTTACATTTATTGAACATTCTTGTAGAGGACAACCACTTCGCATCTATGAAAACCAAGACATTAACATTCAGTTCGTTAACTGAATCTGTAATTCTTTATTATGATAGAGGCCCAACCAACAAAAGGTGTGTGAGGCTCCATTAACTTTTTGACATATGGATAAGTGGTCATTTATCTACTTTAAAGCAAAAATGTTACCACTAACAAGAGAGAGAAAATATATTTACACAACAAATTGAGTTGAACAAATATAAAAAAAATACAAGAGAAATAATTCGTGCATTTGCTATTTTTCTTTTTTAGTTGTTAATATTATATTAATTTTGAGATTGCATTGGATATGTTATTATTATTGTAGTTTATGTTAGTTTGAAGAATTTTTATAAACCTAGAACAAAAATAACAAAAAGTAAAATAAATTTTATAATTAATCTCAATCCCATCAGAAATAATACATTTCACTAAATATATAATAATAAAATAAAAAATGATTGTGGATCCACATTTTATACTTGTTGAAAAATTAAATTTTGAATTTTCTTTCCTAATATTTTTATAAAATCAAAGGATGGTAAATCAAAAATACATATTTTGACGTTCAAACTGAATCTGTATTTTTTTATTTTTTAAAAAACATTTTTGCTGATGTCAGAAAAAAAGTTACACCAATGTTGAAAAGAAATAAAGATTAATTTTTCAGATCTTAATTTTCTCTCTAAATCTAGTCATCTTTAACTTAAATAAATCATTATTTTAAAAAATTAACAAAAAAATAAAATATTTTTTAAAAATAAAATAAATTAAACATATTCCACAAAATTTTAAGTACTATTTTATCAAAAAATAAATAAAAGTAGAAAAGTAACGGTGATGAAAACAAAAATACAAATTATATTACGTAGAAAAAATACCATATCAAAATAAATTTGTCAAACCAACATATAACTATGTAACATATTCAATATAATCTCAAAATATTAAAACAAAGAAGAAGTAAACCCACGTTTTAATTTCTCTTACATTTTTTATGTATGTTCGTTCAACTCAATTTATTGTGTAAATATACTTTCTCTCTTTTGTTAGTGGTAGCATTATAGCTTTAAAATAGATATATGGCCCACTTATCCCTGTGTCAAAAAGTTAATGGAGCCTCATCCACCTTTTGTTGGTTGTGCCTCTATCATGTTAAATTTTTTCCAGACTAGATACGATTTTTTCTTTAAAACGTATATATGAGTCTGAAACCAAAAGGGCAACAAATTTTTTCAAAAATTCCAAAAGGGCAACTCAATTAACTATGAAACCAAAAGGGCAACAATTTTTAACGCCGTGTAAATCAGATTTTCTAAAACGAGGCTCAAATTCCAATGAGCCGTACAAGGCTCAAATTCCGATAAGCCTTGTAAGGCTCAACCGCCAATGAGCCTTACAAGGCTCAACCGCCAATGAGCCTTGCAGGCTGTTATTCTTTTTTTTTTAAAAAAACATTCATTTTATTTTCTTGTTTGTTAAAAGTCTAATAATAATAATAATACATAGTTGTTGATATGATGCATAAAGATAGTTTAGACCTTATTGCTAGCCATTACTTTGTGGCTTTTCAAACGAACTAAACCCAATAGTTTAGACCTTATTTACTACTTAATTGCTATTTTTTTCATCTTTTTTTATGTGAAATTATAATTTGGTTTATTTACTTGCAGAATGATAAAATTCTGCCTTCTTTAGTCATACTTTATTTTGGTGGAAATGCCCTATTGACGGATATGTTGAAAACATGAGAAAAATTATACTACTTCATATCAAGGTAAAAAAATAATAATATACTTTTTAAATAATTTATAGTAAACATGAACCATGCATATATTTGTTGGAGACGGGAGGAACCATAGGGCGAGCAGATAGCAGCTATTTCAAGATTGTTAAATCATGAATATTTGGTTACAACTTATTGTATTGCCCTATCACTCGCCCTATTCTTTGTCCATTTTGTCGTGATGATGACTTCTGTGCAAAAGTGGGTGTAGTTATTCAAAATGGAAAAAGGCGTTTGGCTCTTGTCAACGAAAATCCTCTTCATGTCTACTTCAAGGAAGTCTAGCTAGACTATATGTTTTAGCTACTATGTTATGTTGTAAAATAAACACCTGCTAAGGTATATCTATATTTTAGCATGGCTTTCTAAATAAATTATCCTCTTTATCTGGAGCGTTTGCTTATACACACAATATAGAAAAAATAGACTATTTAATAATGAAATAATATCACAAAAATATAAAATGTGTGAACAAAGTTCTACGTGAAATTTTTTTAAAAAAAGTTACATAATACTTTGGATACTGATCATAGTGGTGGTGGTTGAGGCGGCGAGGTCTGAAGAGAAAGAAGGAGGGTCGGGATGGGGGTTTCAAAGAAGGAGAATGAGGTGGAGGGTTCGAAAGAGAAGGAAATTGTCACGACCCGAGTCTGCACCCTGGACATGGCCGGCACTCAAGAACCATTGTTGGTCCCCAAGAGAATCCTCATCCTGGCTGACTACAAGCAGAAGACTAACTTAAGCATGCAAAAGCTTAAAACTAAATAAAAATTCATGAAACTGAAATACAAAGGTTTAACTCAAATGAAAAACTATGAATAAAATAATATATTCCACTCGCCATAAAAATAGGCACTTAAATCTTTAAAACATTTAATAAATTAACTGAATAAAACAAACTTCTCAACTATACTGACTATCTATGAAGCCTCTAACTGTTAAAAAAGGAAGTCAGGACAAGACCCACGACATCTTGACTAAACTGAAAAGTAAATGAAATCCTCCGAAAATAAGGAGGCTCACCATAGCTAACTCGAACTCTCGAATGTATCAACGAAGCTCCTGTTGATGATCCTGAATACCTGTGTCTGCATCAAGAGAAGATGCAGGCCAAATGGCTCAGTACATGGAATGTATGAGCATGTAAGAGGAATTCTAAAACATAAACATAAGCTTTGAAACTTGATAAAAAAGGAAACATACTTACCTCTTTTCAATCTTACTTAACTCAAGGAATACTCCAAACTACTCAAAACTACTCAAACTTACCCAACTCAGAAGTACTCAAGGATAAGATACTCAACTCAGAGATTAGATACTCAACTCAAGGATATGATATTCGACTCAAAGATATGACATTCGACTCTAGGTACTCAACTCTGGATACTCAACTTTGAATACTCAACTCAATATGACTGAACTCATCTCAATATAAAACAATTTAAAACAAGTGCAATATAAATAAACAAACTGTTTAAAAACATGTTGTCAACTCTGTGTGTATGTAATGATACAACAAAACTCTGAAATGTATGTAAAAATACAATAATTGTGTATATAAGAATACAATAACTTATGTGGGAGTTTCTCTAACCGACAACCATCACTATGGGCCTAAGTGATGGTACAACGTTTTACTTCACGTTGCCAAGGACCGTCCTATACCTTGCTATCGGTATAGAACCTGAACTACTAAGTGGATCCACTATTCTATGCTAAAAAGCACTAAGGAATCATCTGAAAAGTATGATTTTTTTTCTGCCTATGATGGCTACATAGTTTATGGGGGCTTGAGTTAATATGAACTCACGCCCCCATATCGGTGCTCAATACTACTCCCAAAATATACTTAGCTCATATGTTTTTAAAACAACTTCTTCTCTGGTTTGAGATAATTACTCAAACTTAGCTTAAAAGCTCTCTTAGAATCAATGTTCCCTTTTGTTGTTCAAAACTCTTTTGGAAATCTCAGTTTCCTCTCATCTTAAATGTGAAAACATTTACTCTTTGGGAATACATAGTCCCAATAGACTCTTTTGAAGAAATGAACTCAACTCTTTACTCCTTTCTCTTTACTCTTTACTCTTTGCTTGACTAAAAACTTAAGTCTTTAAACAAAGTTAAAACGTTTGTAAAAGACTTCTTAAAATATGGTTCATGCCGAATGATGGGCATGAACAACTAAATGCAAGGTTTTCAATAACCATAGATAGAACTCAATACTTGGAACTCAAGAACTTCAATGATACTACTAATTTCAAGAATGCTCAACTCAGAGGGTTCATGCCGAATTATGAGCATGAACTACTCAACTCAAGGACTCAAAGATACTTCTCATCTCAAGACTGCTCGACTTATAATGTTCATGCGGAATTATGGGCATGAACAACTCAACTCATGGACTTCATGGGTAATAGGTAATAGTCCCATGATTAGGAATGTATTCTCAAATGGGTTATAAACTCAATACTTAAGACTTAGGACCTGAAGACTGTCACGCCCCAAACTCAACAGACGCAACTGGCTCCTAATGCCAAAACTCAGGCCCGAGCCGACCCTGCTGAACCATTTGCTACTAGTGCATGGCAGTCACATGCAATTAAAGAAACAAACAAGTATATCTCGGCTTAAAACTAAGCACTCAGCCGGCAAGGCCCCTGTCAACAGATCTACAAAAGAAACAGCTACTCCCAAGATTTCATATAAAGAAATTGTCAACTAGTACAGAAGTCCTGATTGGGCCGTCAAGGCCACCATGATCACAATACCAAAACTAAAAGCATGTATATAACAAGACAATGCATCACCCAACTAACAAGCTTCAGCAAACCAACAAACTAGGCCAGCATGGCCAGAACATAGTTACAAACCCCACACACTAGTCTGCAAGCCTCTAAGAGTATTAACGATTGGTGGGACAGGTCCCTAGCCTACCCATAAAAATATGTATAACAAAATCTAACAAACCTCCAAACACTGGCAGCTCCGGAGGAAAGGGGCTAGCCAACCGAATATAAGTCAATCCTGCTGCTGAGGAGGTCTACTCAGTCGTCTGTCAGGACCTGCATGCATGAATGCAGTGCCCTTAGGCAATGGGGCGTCAGTACAAAATAATGTACAGACTATGAAAGGGAATAGGCTATGATCAAGTAACCTAATCTACTGGAATAATCCA